TATATATATATATATATATATATATATATATATATATATATATATATTTATACACATGTACATACACACATACATGCATACATACACACAACTTCAAAATAACATAAATTCTCAACCTGTACTGAAAACATTTTCTGCGTCTCAGCGCCACCAGCTGGTGAGAGGTGGTGACGTCAATTTGAACCCCGCCCACTGGAACCGGTACTGAAAGCATAATGGAAACACAACCTGTACCGTATCGAGTAGAGTAGAGCCGTGCTGTACCGGTACTACAGGTACTAATGGAAAAGGGGCATTAGATGTTATTACTGTTTTTCTTATACATTTTATTGTTGGATGTAACTGGGACCCTGTGTACATAATTTTGCTCCACCACATGTACCACATGAGGTGCGAATGACAATAAAGAAACTCTGACTCTGACTTTATCAGTCATATTGTCTGCAACCAGCTGAAGCGCATCTTCCGTGATGTTCTCGACTGGACGAACTATATGAGGTTTGCTCTGTTTAGATCGACTGGAGCCACGGCGTTGTGGAGCTCGATGCATCTCCAGCAGCGCTTTCTCTAAGCTGAGCTCCACACCTGCCTCTTTAGGAGGTGATGGTTCCTTTCTTCCACTCATTGAGTGAGTTAATCTGCGAGATGCTCATTCTGGGTTCTTCTTAGACTCCCCTTCAGCCAAGCCTGTGGATGAGAGCTTCGTTGTTTCCTTTTCTGTTTGGTTTTTCAAAACCCCAGCTCCTCCTATTTTCTGCAGATCTGCTTTATTAACTTTCTTTGGCCAAAAAAGTATCTGAAACATCTTCATTTGAATCAGATCCACTTCCCTCAGGCTGAGTCACTTCTGTCTCCTCATCCTCAAATTTCACATCACATCTTTCCTTCTTTGCTGCGTTGGTCTTCCTTGGCCTCAGCACTCCTCTATTTTGGGCGATTTTGTCTTCCTCTTCATCCTCATAATCTGTGGACTGAGAGGAAGCAGAGCCCAGAGCAATCCTCATCCTGAAAGGTCTAAAGGTTGCAGATGGTTTAGATGGAACTGCCTCTTAGGAGAAACGTCAGGGCAGGCTTCATCTGAATTTGTATCCAGGAGCTCTGAGTCAGAAAAACCATAAAATGTTGCATCATTTTCCGAATCCTCCGCAAACCCGTCAGCTAGTTTCTTCACATCAGAGTTCATTCTGACACCACTCTCCACCTGGGCAGCCTGAACAGAGCCGAGGACGGCGGCATGTTGTGTATCACATTTCAGCAAGTGTTTTTTAAGCTATTTTAGGACAAATTCAGTTTTTTGTGTGGTAATTTATGTTACTTTCAGCTTGATTAACTTATTTCTACTAATTTCAGCTTGTTATGCTCCTTTCAGCTTTTTCTGCTATTTCAGTTAGCATTTTTGCTAATTTCAGCCTTTTCAGTTAATTCCACTTTTTTTTTTAGCTCATTTCAGCACTTTCCACTTCCTTCTGGTAGTATAAGCTTCTTTCTGCTTTTTCAGCTTCTCTTCAGCTATTTCTTGCTAGATTCAGCTTTATTTTATTCTTTTTAGCTAATTTACTCTTTGTGCTAATTTCTACTTATTGAAACTCAGTTCAGCAAAAATGTGTTCTTTCTGCTTTCTTTTGCTAATTTAGGCTTGTATTTCAATTTCAGCTACATTTCAGCATGTTTTAGCTGATTTCAGCAAGTTCTTGAGCAATAAGCATTCACACTGCATTTTCTCTAGTTATTAATAAGTAATGTGAATAAGTTTGCAGAAGAAGTGGGCTAATATAAGTTACCTTTTCCAGCTCCTTTGAATGTAGAAATATTAAATATTAGTAAATGTTTGTATTATCTGTTGTTACATTCAATAAAAATACGAAATAAAAGACTTTTCTGTATTTCTGAACACAATGTAGTGGTCATTTTTGTAATGTCATTTTGTGTGCCTGAAGAAGTTTTGCAAAAGCTAGCTGTGTTTGAATGCTGACATGTCTTTATGGAGCTCCACTAACCTGCTTTATCCTCAATATTTATTCTTGACAATTGTCTTAAGGCTGCCACATACGTAGCAAGACATAACAATATGCAATATGAATAAGACTTCTGTTCTTGACCATGTTTGAGATTTTTTTTTCTTGCATGGACATTTTAAAGTCAAAAGAGAAAGTGCAGGGTAGAAGTCCTGGTAAGCACACGTCACAAATCTGAAACAGCACAATTATCAAAGTGGATTTTTATTTTCAGTTAATGATAAAGGAAGAAGAAACCATTAGAAGTGTTATTTTACAAATTTGTCATCAAATGACTGCCAGTTTTCAACAGACGGTGCAGGAACACGTCCCTCTCCCGTCTGGACAAGGGGCACTCCCTTTCAGACAGTACAGCCATGATAAGCAGCGTTTCTGTGCACAAAGATTGTGTTCCCTCCTTCCATGGCTTCTTTGAATATCTTTTATGTATTTTACTTGACTAGTTCTCCCATGGGCAGCACGGTGGCGCAACTGGTAGAGCTGCTGCCTCTCAGCGAGCAGGTCCCTGGTTCAAACCCCGGTCCAGGGGCCTTTCTGGGTGGAGTTTGCATGTTCTCTCCGTGCATGCGTGGGTTTTCTCCGGGTACTCCAGTTTCCTCCCACAGACCAAAAACATGCATGTTAGGCTGATTGGTAACTCTAAATTGTCTATAGGTGTGAGTGAGAGTGTGAATGGTTGTTTGTCTCGTTTGTCTCTATGTGTCCCTGTGATGGACTTGCGACCCGTCCAGGGTGTACCCCGCCCCTCGCACAGTGATTGCTGGACATGGGCACCGGCGACCCCCGTGACCCAAAATGGAATAAGCGGGTAAAGATAATGGATGGATGGATAGTTCTCCCATAGGTTTCTGGCATTGGAAGAAGTGTTGGTTGTCAGACATCGGGGGTTCAACAAGACAGAATATTCTTGTTTTGCATTTTATAACTGTTTTTTTTCCCCTCAAATTAGATGATTTAGTTTCAAAGTGTGCAGCTTTTCTCACTGCAGCGTTTGTTTGGGGCTTCTTCGAAGGAAATTTTCAAAGCGTCTTAAAAACAGTAGATTTTGAGTGGAAACATTCTTGGGGCAGCACGGTGGTGCAGTTGGTAGAGCTGCTGCCTCTCAGCGAGCAGGTTACCCCGGTTGGTTCAAGTCCCGATCTGGGGGCCTTTCTGGGTGGAGTTGCATGTTCTCTCCGTGCTGCGTGGATTTTCTCCAGGTACTCTGGTTTCCTCCAACAGACCAAAAACATGCATATTAGGTTGACTGGTAACTCTAACTTGAGTGCGAGAGTGAATGGTTGTTTTTATCTCGTGTGTCTCTATGATGGACGGGAGACCTGTCCAGGGTGACCCCTGCCTCTCGCAGAGTGATGGCTGGATATGGGCACCAGTGACCCCCACGACCCCAAAAAGAAGAAGCGGGTAATAATGGATGGATAGTTTTTGCATTGATTCTGTCAAACCTGTTTGTCCTGTATTGTTACTGATCATGAGGTTTTACCCAGTCATAATTGTAAAAGATTACAACCCAGTTATTAGTTCACTTTAGGGGTGATTATGGGAAATATAGAATACTGTATAGAAAAATCACGTATTCATATCCCATCTATCAAGAGTCCTTAATAGGATGTAAAACATTACTAAAACCTCAGTTGTGTGTGTTGTAACTTTTGTCTGATGGCAGAAAAGCAGGTTGTGGAAAGTGTAATAAATCGTCTTTACACATGCTCATCTCTTAAAGTTTGAAAATACAGACAGACAGCAAACTACCACAATGACTATATTCATCATTATCCTACCAGTTACAAAACTCAGCATCATTGTGCTTCTGCTCTGCTTCCCTCTTGTGAAGAAATCCAGAACAGCACTTTCCCTATTTTAATCATTTAGTTATCCAGTCAGCAGCAGTGGAGAAGTTCAGCTTTGGTAAACTTCACCCATTGAAGGCCTGATTGACAAAACAGGGAAGAACCTGTTCAGTTAATCTATCTAATCATCATAAATGTCGAAAATATGCAAGATGCCCACAATGATCAGTAGTTTACAAACTAACATACCTGTAATCCAATGAAAGTTTGCAGCTATTTATCGAAAGAACTGAAAACTATATATGCTAAAAGATTTTTTGCATGTCTGATTTGAGCTTAATTTGGAATAATTTTCCAAACGGGCAGCACGGTGGCTCAACTGGTAGAGCTGCTGCCTCTCAGCGAGCAGGTCCTTGGTTCAAACCCCAGTCCAGGGGCCTTTCTGGGTGGAGTTTGCATGTTCTCTCCGTGCATGCGTGGGTTTTCTCCAGGTGCTCCGGTTTCCTCCCACAGACCAAAAACATGCATGTTAGGCTGATTGGTAACTCCAAATTGTCCCTAGGTGTGAGTGAGAGAGTGAATGGTTGTTTGTCTCTATGTGTCCCTGTGATGGACTTGCGACCCGTCCAGGGTGTACCCCGCCCCTCGCACAGTGATTGCTGGACATGGACACCAGCGACCCCCGTGACCCAAAATGGAATAAACGGGTAAAGATAATGGATGGATATTTTCCAAACTTTTAAGTGCATATTTTATACGTCTTTTAGTAGAAAAGTTTATTGAAGTAATGAAAAACTGCATTACAGGTTGTGTAGTCTATTAATAGAAGCCAAAAATAAATCCATGTTAGCAATCTGTATTAAAATAAAATGGTCTTTCAAAAGTAGTTGAGCATGTCACAAACTTCTTTTGAAAGTAACCTAAAACGTTTTATTATGCTTTTCTTTTCCCCCTGATAAATAACTTGCATTTTAGAGCAGTTCTTTCAGTTTCTGTAAGGAGTTTTGAGGACGCTACATGAACATTTGTCTATTTATAATGCTCTTGCCAATGAGGTATAAAGATAAAATGTTTCTAAGATGTAATGTACCACAAAAAAGCACGTCTACTTCAACAGTCTTTGATTAAGATTCAGGTTTATTGGTTACATATTTACACTGATACATAATTTCAGTAAAAAAAAACACTTCCATATAAACTTGAACAACCAAACATCGACCCCAAAATGCCACCCAGGTCCGTAGGAGCGCTCTGATTGGTCCGCGCGTCTGTAAATCCGCTCCCTCTTGAATCCGCTCTTCCCATTGGTCGGCGGTGACGACAATCCCGAGACGTGCTCCCGCCCACCGAGCGGATCAAGTTTGAATGAACAACAGCAGAGTCTGCTCTGGAGGTGGTAGTTGCATTTGCAGTAATTATTAAAAGTGTGTCTCGTTACCAGTGGCCCGCGGACCCAGGATGGACATGAAGAAAAGAATTCACCTAGAGTTGCGGAACCGCACTCCGTCAGATGTAAGTAGGGGGGGCTCGCATCTTTCTGTGATGTTTCTCTCTCTCTCTAATGGAGAACATTTCGTGTTGATGTCTCGGCGGCGTGTGTGTGTGGCGGGGACAAAGTTTCCTCCAAGTTAAAAAGATGAAGGGAGCCGTCTGGTCACATTGTTGCTTTGCGGTTGTGTTTACAGTTGCTGCGGGTCCGACGCTTCAAACTTTTGCGCGGCTCCAACCTTTTGATGTGCAGTTTGAGAATGCAGCTTTTTTTTTTTGCTTATAAACAAGGCAAGCGGTACGAGAAGCCATATTTGTAACGTTTCATCTACGAACGCGCCCCGTTTTTCTTTCATTTAGCACCCTGTTGTTGTTATTTACTCGTTGATTAACGACGGCTTTTCCCGGTATGTGCATTCACGTAAACACTTAAAGCGGTGCACTTGGCGGGTTAACGATGCAGGGAGTTAAAAGTCGTGAAATTGTACAAATAGTACGGAGTTACTTTAACTGTAAGGCGCCCAAATTATTAGTGAAAGTGCCCTGTTGAGGTGGTTGATGTCTGGGCAGCTTCCAGTGGTAGCCTCCGAGCAGGAGCCGAGCTACGCATGCATGATGGCCGAAGCACAGCGCTGTCCTGCGGACAGTCAGCAGCATCGACGCTGGGCAACACAACATGCCGAGTCAAACACAAACCCGCCCCGGGGTCAGTTTTAACCGCCGGGGTAAAGTCGAGTCGTTCTTTCGGGGTACATTTGGTCGTGTTTGGGCCTGGGGAAGTGAGCGTCAACGTTAACGAGCGTCGTTGCTCCACTTTCCCCCACTACAACTAGGACAAGCCGCCGCCATTTTACCCAGAAACAAAGGCAGTTTGAAACACAGCGAAAGCCCGTCCATTCGACACAAACGACGAACGATCGATCATACCTCAATCTTATTAGAAGTTTACACTCGCCACCGGTCCAATCGGTACGTGTTTAGCACGAGCAACATCGAACCGTTTGCCGGGCAGCTATCTAATCGGCTTTAGCGGCCCCTCCTACTCGCAGATGACCCTGTGCACGACTCGTAGGGCTGCTGCTCGGCTCCGCTTCGTTTTTCACCAAAATGTGCCTCCGCGCGGCTTTAAAGACCCGCGAACGCGCGTTATTGTTTTGAGACTCATTTACATGTTAAATAATGAGCCGCGGACGCCTTTCTTTACCCGTTTCTCCTTAAAGTGAATCTTAAATTTGATATTTACGTAATGAAAAAAAAGTCAAGATATCGCGAGAAGTAGCCGCGCGAGATGTGTGCTGACGGTTGAAGGTTGTTGATGGACGGTTATCTCACCGCTGATTGGCTGCGGCACGTTCAAGGACCGAGTGAAAAAATCCGAGAACAGCACACCTGTGACCGCGTATCAGCGACTCGCTTTAAATACCAGGCCGTCCAGTCAAAACCAACATCTCAAAACAGTTCTAGGCAGAATGTGGCCACAGCCCGTATTTATCTGTTTTTCAAGGACTGCTTAATCTGTTTGACAGATGTAACTTTTTTTAAGAGCGTGTCATGTGTCTTTAAAAGAAGTCAAAAGCCACAAGAAAACTATCCTGACTCTTAAGTAACAATGTAAATACAGTAGTCTCTCGATTATAGCGAGGTTACGTTCCACACATCACCGTGATGGGTGAAAAACCGTGAAGTAGGAACGCTGTATTTATTTTAATATTTATAAACCCTTCCCACACTCTTGCAATGTTCTAAACTCTTAAGCCTACGTTATTTTAACAACATACATATATGTACTGTACAGTACTGCAATATTTTACTCACCAGCTCTGCAGACCAGCAGCTCTGTTCTGGTTCTGCAGTCCTACCCTGCAGCGTCGAAGCCCACCGCCCCATCCAGGTTAATGTGCACGTGGATAATTGAGCTTCAGGATTATTCATGACTTTCCTGACAGTTCTGTGAGCTTAATAGATAACATCGTTCCTTCTGACATTGCGTTGCAAAACTTTCCCTCCATTTCGACTGAAAGCAGCAGCCAGAAGCATCGTTGGCTTCTGGGTAGTGTAGTTCTTTTGACTGGTGTTACACTATAGGCTTATTTAAAGAAAACTACAAAATGGCGGCGCCTGTCCAAAGTATTTTTTCGTTAACTTTTTATTCCGTACCGTCCCAGTCATGTGAGTAATATTAAAGTTGACAATCGTTGAAAAAACGTGAGAGAGCGAGTTCGCGCAAGTCGAACAGCACATCTAATTTCTTATTATCACTACTATTATTTACTTATAACGCCTGCATTGCATTAGCTGAACAGACTAACTTTTTGACAGGTCAAAGAACTTGTGCTAGACAACTGTCGCTCAAATGAAGGCAAGATTGAGGGCCTAACGGATGAATTCGAGGAGCTGGAATTCCTAAGCACAATCAACGTCGGTCTAACGACAGTTGCTCACTTGCCAAAGCTAAAGAAACTCAAAAAGGTGAGTTTCTGCACAGCGCAAGTAACACTTTAGACTTTCAGGCTTCTTTTTTTTGTTCCTGTTTTGATTGTTGAAATTGATCGACAGCTCGAACTCAGCGATAACAGGATCTCAGGAGGGTTGGAAGTTCTGGCAGTGAAGTGTCCGAACCTCACACATCTCAACCTCAGTGGCAACAAGATAAAAGACCTCAGCACAATAGAACCGTTGGTAAGTGATGCACAAAACGTACTCGGCCTCTCTTCTTATGTGTAAAATGCGTACTCTTGGAGAAGTAGAAGTAAAATAAGAGATCAAATCTGATTGAAAAGCACCAATAATTCAGCAAACGTCTAGCTGCTGTTGGAAAAAAAATGCTTCACTCTACAGAAATGCATACTTTGACATTTTTTTCACTTTATTATCACAACAAATACATCGCCATAGAATATTTAATTTAGTTTAACTGTTTTCTTCATATCTTGTCCTTTTTAAAGCTTTAAAAACATGTATAAGATGAGTGCACATGGGACACAGACACATCTGCAGGACTTTCCTTGGCAAATGTTTAAAGTTACTCATGCAAACAATATCATTATCTTAAAAAAAGAGGGTATTTATACCTCAATTCTCAAAAAGCTTTTTTTGACAGCTGGCTCTGGGATGGTAGAAGAGCACTGTGAACTCTCACTGCAGTCATGTAACACGACAAAGAATTTTGTAAAGTGACAACAAAACTGACAAACTACAGATGTTGGCGCTTTAAAATATTGAAGCATCAGAAATAATTACATGTAAATTAGAATCACCGTCGGCCTTTATGATTTTCTGTTGTGATTGTTGCTGCTGCAGATTGTATGGTGAAATGAATCCTATCAATCAAATCCAAGCTTTCTAATCATGCGCACACCTACCTATTCACACCTCTTTAATGCACTGTTGTGACCTGTCGGCTGTCTGAATCTGAATGATTAGCTGAGAGAGCGAAGAAACAAAGTAAAAAGGCGTCTGGCTGAAACGCTAATGAAGCTGAACTTTTTGTTCTGGCAGAAAGAACTGGGGTCTCTGAAAAGCCTCGACCTGTTTAACTGCGAAGTGACAAACCTGAACGAATACAGAGACAACGTCTTCGAGCTCTTACCGCAGCTCACGTACCTGGACGGGTACGACAAAGACGACAAAGAGGCGCCGGATTCTGACGGCGAGGTCTACGCAGAGGGCTTGGATGATGAAGACGACGATGAAGATGGTAAGTCTGAGGCGTGCCGTTCACGTGTGCAGCTTTGCTTGTTGTAACATAGCGCAGCGCTTGAACATTTCGCATGAACTACTACCTGCTTTCACTCAGATGTAGATGAGGAGGAGTACGATGAGGACGCTCCACCTGGAGACGAGGAGGACGAAGACGGAGAGGAAGATGAAGAGGAGAATGAAGATGATGATGAGGAGGAACTGAGTGGAGAGGTGGGCAAGATGAAATGAGTATTGTTGAAACAAAAAGTATGAGGTAACCAAACTGAACTTGCTTTATCTTTGAATGAAGGAGGAAGAAGAGGAAGACTTGAATGACAAAGACGTTGATGACGAAGATGATGAAGGTGAGCATGGTGGTGGTCCTAGATTAGCAACAACTGACCACATGATTGTGAGCTGCAGATGTAATTCACCTGAGTGACCCCTTTACATGTGAATTAATCTAAAATCACAACAGTCACCGTGTACCATACCATTTTATTTATAAAGCACTTAAAACAGCTACAAGGCCAACCAAAGTGCTGTACAGACAGAACAACAGGTAACACACAAAGCAAAATACACAATGAGGTAAATCATAAAAATAGACATAAAAACGATGCAGATAATGACGACAAACCAGTGTGGAGCATACAGGTTCAAAACACAGATCATCTGGTGTTTAAAGCTTCTGAATAGTAGTGAGTTTTTAAACGGGACTTGAAAACTGAGAGGGAGGGGGCCTGTCTGACAAGCAGAGGTAACTCGTTCCAAAGTCTTGGACCTACTACAGAGAAGGCCCTGTCACCTCTGCGCTTAAGACGAGTTCTGTGTAGGTCATATGTGTCAAACTCGAGGCCCGGGGGCCAAATGTGGCCCTCGTTGACATCTTATCTGGCCCCCAAGATGTTATTTGAAATGTAAAATACTATCCATCCATCCATTATCTTTACCCGTTTATTCCATTTTGGGTCACGGGGGTCGCTGGTGCCCATGTCCAGCAATCACTGTGCGAGGGGCGGGGTACACCCTGGACAGGTCGCAAGTCCATCACAGGGACACATAGAGACAAACGACACGAACAACCATTCACTCTCCCACTCACACCTAGGGACAATTTAGAGTTACCAATCAGCCTAACATGCATGTTTTTGGACTGTGGGAGGAAACCGGAGTACCCGGAGAAAACCCACGCATGCACGGAGAGAACATGCAAACTCCACCCAGAAAGGCCCCTGGACCGGGGTTTGAACCAAGGACCTGCTCGCTAAGAGGCAGCAGCTCTACCAGTTGCGCCACCGTGCTGCCCCATAAAATACTTTTATCACTTAAATTTTTTTTCAGTAATCTTTGATTTATGATGTCAAAAGTGCAACAGAGAACGTCAAATGAGACCAATCAAACTCTTGAGGAACCTGCCAAGAAAAGATGTTTGGTACCTAACTTGAGTTAATGTTGATTCTGAAACCGGCCCTTAATTTGAAGAACGTTTTAATTTTGGCCCCCTTTTGTAAGTGGGTTTGATACCCCCGGTCTAAGGGGACTGTCGGTAGAGTTGCATTTGGGCCCAAAAAAATCAGATCCGGCCCCAGCCCGTAGACATCATTTCCGAACCCGACCCGACAAATTAATAGTAATTACAGGTCCCCCCCCCCCCCCCCACACACACACACACACACACACATTTTAAATAAAGCTTTGAGTGCTTCTAGTTATTAACCGTCGGGGACGCGCGGCTGAATAAAAGTTGCAGAAGATCAGAGCTGAGGGTGTTTGTCATTTCATGGCCGTCAAAGAGCATTTAATCCCTGTTTCTGCCTGCATTCTGATTTATTCAGACATGGACCCTCTGACATGTCTGCTTTGAGATCTCACCTGTTTGGGTCGTGTGCGTCCGCTGAGTGTAGCAGCTGAATGAACGTCCATTTTGGTGATGGATCGCTGCTTGGCAGTATAGTCCCGTCTGAAGCTTAGCTGAACTTTATTTTACCTCTTTCAAGACCGGTCAGCTCGTGGTGAAATGGCCGTGTGCGGCTGGTGAAGGTGTGGCAAGCCATGTTGCCATATAATTGGATCGCAATCAAAAGCCTGACACTGACCCGCCCCACCCAACCAACACATTATCATGGCTCGGCCTGCACCAAATTTGGGCCGGGCTTTGGGCCCAGGTTAGAAATGACAGCTGTAAATCGCTCACGTCACAGAAATGCTCAGGATTCAGTTCCTGAATGATTGTCTTGTCTGAAATCAGAAAAAAAAATCAGTTTTAATGAAATACTATGTTATATGAAGGCCACAGGAGGGGGGAATAATCATTACCATCTGACAGCATATTGTACCATGTGATTTTAAGGCGTTTTAAACCCTTTCCACACTCTTGCAATGTTCTAAACAATGTTTGTAAACGCTCTAAAAGAGCACAGCATGTCTTGATCTCTGCCACCTGTCGGCGCTCTTGGCCACGCCCGCTGCAGAGCGGAGATCATGAAATGCTGCAGGAGGAAGCTTCTCCCTGCACCTGTGGGCTGCACACAGGTGCAGCAGGTTCCAACTAATTTAAAATATTTTATTTTAAATAAAATTCCATGCCGATCGTGCGGCTCATCCATCAATCAGCCAGTTGTGTGTCGTGTCCATTCTTACTTTGAAAAACCACCAAAGAGCGAGTCAGCGAAACAGTGAGGGACTACTGTATGTAGAAAATGAGGAATGACTAGACTTCCCACTGTTCTATAGTTTGAGATACCCTCCATCTTGTTTAACACCATCCAGTCTAAAAACCTTGGTCCAAACCATCCAGCCCTGCTGTGAACAGAAACACTCAAAAATGCTTCAACGTTCAGTGTAAATTCAGACGGACAACATTTTTATTTTGTACCTGAACCTTCTGCATGTGATCCTTGTGTTGTAGAAGAAGAGCGAGGTCAGAAGAGAAAACGGGAGCTGGATGAAGAAGGGGAGGAGGATGAAGATGATTGAGTACCTGATGTAAGCTAAGAGTTGAACTGTTTTAAACGTGTATCTCCTGCTCACATCCCCACATCTGTTGTTGTTTTGTCGTTTTATTTTCCCCCTCACAGTTTCATATTGCAGTAGGAGTGTTTTTTTTTTTTTGGTTATTGGCCAGTCAGATTGAGGGATTATCTGGAGAAACGAAAAACGTCAAATTAAATCCCACACCTTTCTTTGAGTCCAGTCTCTTTAGTCCACTTTTACCTGCTTTGTGGACCCTTGCTTTGTAATATTAAATAATAACAAAACAAAAAAAACATTTCTGAGATTTTTTTTTTTAATTTGTTTCTCACTATTTGTGTAAAACCAGTTTCAAGTGGTTCTTGTATTTTTAGACCTCCCCCTTCAAAAAAGAAAATAAAAACAAACAAAAAGAGTTGCATGTCTTATACATTTTAAAGTCAACTACTGGATTTCATGTACGGCTGTTTTCTCCTTGTCTTAAATTTATTGTTTTGCATTCTTAGTTACTTTTTTTTTTCAAGTATAAGTTATGTTTTTTGTAGTGTCATCGTTATGCCAATACCCTCTGCTGTCCTGGTGTGAAACTTTATTCTGAACGTGCACAGTGTGACCCTCGCAGGGCTTTAAATCATGACATTAAACATGTCTGCCTTTGTCAAAGCCGCTCCTCCTCCTCAAACCCTCAGCTTTGATAGTTCGGATATTACGTGTTCCTGTAAATAAAGACCAAATCTATTTTTTTGTATTCTCTTTGATGACGGCAGACATCGAAACAAACAACTGAGGTAAAAACCATGAATTGTAATAAGATGTTAATTATGTACGCTGCTAAAATACGCAGTGGGAAATTTCTTGAATTTGAACTTTGTATGCAGAAACTTTCCAGAAAATGTTCAACATCAGAAGGCATCGTCGTTTTTCTCAAATTTTTTTTTTTCTTGTAGAGTGTAAAAGAAGTACCTGCTATAATTCGAGGTTACAACTGCATCCTATGTGCATTGAAGGTTTATTGTTTCAAGGTGTAAACTGTGGAAAACAGTCATTTTAGACTTTCCTCTATGTACACAATGGTCAAATTGGCCTACCTCAGTAATTTTTCTCACTCTGGTAAATCTATTGTCATCATTCAATTTTGTTTCTTTATTTTCCTTCCACTCACTTCAATAAATCCCTTTTTTTTTTAAATAAAGTTTGGAAGTTTGTGGTTTGTCCTTGTGGCTACCGGTTCAAGCCCATGTTTTGTTAAGAAGGGCATTTGGTGTAAAACAATTGCCAACTCTTTCTTGTGAGCTAAATTGAAAAACTAACTTTCTGTGGAGTTGTAGTTTGTATTGTACCACACTATCGGTTGGTTTTCTAATTATGTCTCAGGCCGAAAGCAATGTGTTCAACACAAAGTTACTTCTAGCTATTTAACTGTCAGTAACGGTGTAGCACAAGGCTCAGTCTTAGGACCTCACTATCTTTACAATCTATATAAGTAATGTAGGTCATAACATTCCTGATGCATCCTTACATTTCTAGCTGATGACACAGTTGTTTATTGGTGAGCTTAAACAGTTGCTAAGGTTTTTCAGCTTTTACAGTCTGCATTCGACATTCAGTCATATTTGTTTCATCTCAGCTAAATGCTAAATGCTGATAAAACCAAAGGGATGTCGTTTTTCAAACAGGAAGTCGGTACCAGCAAGCCTTCCTCCAATCTTATCTATGAATAGTGTTCCTATTGAGTTTGTCGATTCTTACAAATACGCAGGAATCTTGGTCGATGCACATCTCTCTTTTAAGCCGCATGTTGAAAGCTTGATGAAGAATGAAGTTAAAATTGAGTTTTTTTTTTTTTTTTTTCCAGAAATGGATTTTGCTTAACTGAATGCTAGGAAACTCCTTGTAAATGCTACTTTCCTTCCGGCCATTGACTGTGGTGACATTATTTACATGAATGCTCTTGCCAGCACCTTGCAGATGTTGGATGCTGTACCATGGCATTCTAAGGTTTAGAACTGTAACTATCATACCCATCAATTGGTAAGTTGGTCATCATCTACACGTAGGCTCTCACACTGGTTCATTTTCATCTTTAAATCACTCCTGGGTCTGCTGCCTTCATATATTCAATTCAGTTTATTTACCGGTATATTGTATAGCGCCAAATCACAGTAGAAGTCATTTCAGGGCACTGCACAGAAACATTCACATACATAAGTCAGTTAATAACATTTATCTCAGGAGCTATTGATGCTTTGAGTTTTCACTTTGTTGCAGTCTCCCATCCTAAACAAGCACAGAGGCAACAGTGGAAAGGAAAAACTCCCTCGTGAGGAAGAAACTTTTAGCAGAACCAGGCTCTCCTTCTACATGTCACATCATCAATGCAGCTGTGCAAGACATCATTACCTGCAGCGTCCCCTCAGTGCGGACTTAACTCGGCCAAAAGGTCTTCTCTTACTCTGCTCCCATTTCCTGGAACACCTACAAAAACATCTGAAGCTGTCGACTTTGACCTCTCCTAAGGGATTTTAAACAATTCAATGGAAAACCCAATGCAGACATGTTCCTGTTTTTAGTATTTTACCTCGTTTCATAATGTAGTTTGATTTTATTTTGTTTATATCACTACTTTTATTTACTTTTTATTTTATATGCGTTTTATAGTTGTTTATTGTTGTCTGTACCTTATCTGTGGTTTGTTTAAAACAAGTCTCTCTTGTAAATGAGTCCTCGTGACTCACTGAGACTAATGTGTATAAATAAAGGTTGAATGAATTGTACCTTCAGTAGACTGTGTTAAACACTTTCATTTTTGGATTATCAAAATATATCTACTGTATATAAACCTCTTTATTAAAAAAAGACCCGAATATGGAAGGGTGTGTAGGCAAGACTTTTTGTTATTGACGTTAACGTCCCTAGTGCGCAGATTGTGACTACAAAGTTGTAATATGTCGGCGCACAAAAAACTGAAATTTTATTTTTTTGTCAGTGGAAGCCGATGGTGTTTTTTTTTTTTTTAAACTGCGTTGATAGTTTGGATTATCAGGCAGAAGTTTTGATGGCACAGTTCAGATAACTGATCAAATTGCAGCCAGTTCTTAAGAGTTTTGTTGTCTCAGTACAACTCAAACCTCACAAATCTTACAGATGTTCATGCAAACATTGTTTTATATACCTGGACGCCACTGTCATGTTTGCATTAAACTGGTATATGTGTGGATAGCTTCATAGTCCTGAAAGTGATGTGACGATAAACCAGGCAAAGTCACTGATGGAAAAGAAAGGTTATGTTAAAAAAAAAAATATATATATATATATATATATATAATCTTTTATGAACCACTCTAAAGTAAAAAAAAGATAAATAAGTCTTTAGTATCAAACTGTTGTTCAGCTCTTTTTGGGTATGATTCAGAGAGAACAGAGTTAACGTTTAAGCAATATCACACGCTTTAGGAATACAAGATTTCCAGAAGTTTGTCAAATTGAAATGTAAGTCCCTTCATGCTTTTGTTAATTGATAATAACCCAGAGCACACGCAGGTGTGTTAGACATGTCTGTAAGGCTGAGCCACAGACAGGCTGGATATAATAGAATGTAGTGACTGGCAAATTGATAGAATGTAAGTTTTTTTTATTTAATTTTTAACAAATTGCAGGTAAATTCAGATCCAAAAATAGATAGATATTTGCAACTATTTCAGTTTTTGGCCAGATTTAAAGTGCGCGTATGACCGGGACTATGACTGGTGATGGACCACAGTCGGCTTTAGTGTAAAGAATCACAGACTTCTACAGAAATAACTAATGTCAATTTATAACATTGTAAAGTCTTGCAGAGTAAGAACTGAAATGACCTTTTTTGAGGCTAGAGTTGTTATGGAGCTGACCCTACTTAGACCAGTCTATAACTTTTCTACTCCATGAAAACTTCTGCCCAGTTCTCCAAACTCATAGTGCAAGTGAGATCTACTTCAGGTAAGATGCTGACTATAGACAACTCCACAAGACACCACTAAAAAAAAAAAAAAAACTAATTATTGTTTGAAATGTATTTTTTTTCTGCCCTCCTTATGCCTACTTACATGTCAGATCTTTTTACAGCACAACTTCCACTTCAACTTCCTGTTTCTGCAGCTCCACAGTGCAGATATTTTCCCCACTTGTCTACTTTTCTGTAACCTTTTTTCCCTTGTAGCAAACTACACAATTATTGTTTATGTGTATAATTTCTCAGAGTTTGCATAATACTGACACGTGTTGCTTTTCTTATTTTTTCTCTCTGAATCTATGGCCATAATATTTCACTTCTTAAAGGAAGAGTTGCAATCTTCATTCCCTTCCAAATTCCCTTCTTGCAAGGTATTTTGTTGGCCATTATATTTATTATCTTGTGTTACAAAGAGCTAATTCAAAAATAAAATAAAAAGCATGTAATTAAACCTGCATAGAAACATCCAGCTGTTAAAGTAGACCCAAATTAAGTCTAATTTTAGAGCCCTTTCTACTTAAATGCAAAATAAGAACATTTAAACTGTCATTTAGTCAAATTTACTTGATGATACAAATGACCCAAAGTACTTGAAGCAAAATTAGATTTAAAAACACACATCTCAGTTTTAGTGATATATATATAGTTTAAATGCAAAAGAGCAGTTGTTACTACAGTTTGTATTAGGAATAGGCAATAATACAACTTCAGACCGTGTTTGAAGTTCTGCTGTTGGAGTCAAAGAAGTCTTACAGTTCTGTGTGCTTGTCCACACAAACGTTGCACCATTTCAACCAGACAGCGCAATCTATCAAGCGTCACAACCGTTACTTGTGCAGCTGCATCATACAAAAACAACTAGATTAAGAAATATATAAGTTATTGGCTAAAAAGGTCAAACAAATAAATAGAAGCAAATATACATCACCTCAAATTCTCAAAAGCATTCCTAAAAAACTCAGACAATATTTCCCTTGGGACCATGTGCAAGTAGTTACACAAGTGATGCAACGCGTCCTTTGCTCTTTTCCCTCTAATAATACAGGATGAACAAGCATCCACTCTTATGACTGCTTTTGGAGAAATATGGGTTAGTGTTGCAAAGTCAATTTAGGACAACCGAGGTGAAAAATGCATGATCCACGTCTGCAGAAGTCTGCTACTGTGAGGTGGAGTTGCAGCTCAGGGCTAACAGCAGGAACTAAGGCCTTGAGGAAATGGAGAACTCGTTTCATCATCCAGTTTTGTTGCAGCATAAAATGAACTTTTAAAGCTGATTTGGTTGGTACTGAAGGACAATTCTGGTAGGACCTTTTTGCACGGTCATCAAGGCATTGTCACATAAAAAAAAAAAACAGGGTGGTTGAAAATAGCTGTAAGTGATCATAACACTACAGGCTGTGCTGGAACATACATGTGTTCATTTAAATAAACAGACATCATCATCAACCAAACGTTATCCAGGAGGCAATCCCTGAAACCCTACCTTCAATACGTATAATTAAAGTAATACTACTACATTATTCTACTATTTGCATCAGTAAGGGATGTACTCAACAGTTGTTATATATTTGTTTGCTATGCAGGGCAGCAGGAATGATGGTAGGAAGTTGATATTGCTTATATAAAAAGCAGAGAGTTAGGCTTATGAAGCTTGTCGGAGGTCAGAACTGGACGTGAAAGAAGCAGCTGTGCCAGTTCCGGAGGCTTAGAGGTCAGACGTTGTTGGGGCTAACATTCTTCAGGTTGTTCAGCTCCAGCTCCAGTTGTCGTATTCGCACGTCCTTAGTGGTCAGCTCGTCCTTCAGCCGCCGCAGCTCGTCCTGCTGCCGGAAGAACATCCGCAGGAGCTACGTGGCAAAAGAAAAACGTACAAACACTTTTTGTGGCCATCCCTTGTACTTTGACAGCATCTCAAACCTTCACCTTTCACAAAGATGTGATTGTGACATTCAAACTCTCCTAAGTCTCATGTCAAGTGACTCCTGAATACCTCATTCTCTGTCCGGGGCGGTACGTTCTCCAGCAGGTCGATCCCATTGACTACTGCACTCGTCTTTTCCTTCACTGGGGCCTTGAACACCAGCTGGTTTGGACGGTTGTAACCCTCCTTTAGAGACATCAGGACTGGCTCTATTTGAAACATAGAGTAAAACCTTTTCATGCATTGTACAGTGTAATAAACCAGGTTTAATATCAGAGTTTCGTTCCATTTGTTAGACTAGTACGGGCTGTTTAGTGAGCAGGTAATGAGCTAAGAGTATTGGCTAACTGTTAGCTCAACCCCTGTTAGGTTATTTTGTTTTTACTGATGCCTCAGGCAGAAAAATTGGACTGTAGCTAAATTTATATATTGTCATAGCTCTGCCCATTGCTAGGTTAACAAAAGTCCAATACAGTAGTCCCTCGTTTATTGCAGGGGATCCATATCTTAAAGCCCTGTGACAAGTGAAAAAACGCGAAATAGGAATCGTAGTATATATCCATCTCTCTCACTCACACCTAGAGACAATTTAGAGTTACCAATCAGCCTAACATGCATGTTTTTGGTTTGTGGGAGGAAACTGGAGTACCTGGAAAAAACCCATGCATGCACGGAGAGAATATGCAAACTCCACCCAGAAAGGCCCCCGGACCGGGATTTGAACCAACAACCTTCTTGCTGAGAGGCAGCAGCTCTACCAGTTGTGCCACCACCACCATGCTGCCCTATATATACAAACCGAATTCCAAAAAAGTTGGGACACTAAACAAATTGTGAATAAAAACTGAATGCAATGATGTGGAGGTGCCAACATCTAATATTTTATTCAGAATAGAACACAAATCACAGATCAAAAGTTTAAACTGAGAGAATGTATCATTTTAAGGGAAAAATATGTTGTTTCCAAATTTCATGGCGTCAACAAATCCCAAAAAAGTTGGGACAAGTCCATTTTTACCACTGTGTGGCATCCCCCCTTCTTCTTACAACACTCAACAGACGTCTGGGGACAGAGGAGACCAGTTTCTCAAGTTTAGAAATAGGAATGCTCTCCCATTCATGTCTAATACAGGCCTCTAACTGTTCAATCGTCTTGGGCCTTCTTTGTCGCACCTTCCTCTTTATGATGCGCCAAATGTTCTCTATAGGTGAAAGATCTGGACTGCAGGCTGGCCATTTCAGTACCCGGATCCTTCTCCTACGTAGCCATGATGTTGTGATTGCTGCAGAATGTGGTCTGGCATTATCGTGTTGAAAAATGCAGGGTCTTCCCTGAAAGAGATGACGTCTAGATGGGAGCATATGTTGTTCTAGAACCTGAACATAGTTCTCTGCATTAATGGTGCCTTTCCAGACCTGCAAGCTGCCTGTGCCACAAGTGCTCATGCAACCCCATACCATCAGTGATGCAGGCTTCTGAACGGAGCGTTGATAACAACTTGGGCTATCCTTGTCCTCTCTGGTCCGGATGACAGGGCGTCCCCGTGTTCCATAAAGAACTTCAAATCGTGACTCATCTGACCACAGAACAGTCTTCCATTTTGCTACACTCCATTTTAAATGACCCCTGGCCCAGTGCAAACGTCTGAGCTTGTGGAGTTGCTTAGAAATGGCTTCCTGCTTGCACTGTAGAGTTTCAGCTGGCAACGGCGGATGGCACGGTGGATTGTGTTCACTGACAATGCTTTCTGGAAGTATTCCTGAGCCCATTCTGTTATTTCCTTGACAGTGGCATTCCTGTTTGAGGTAGAGTGACGTTTAAGGGCCCGGAGATCACGAGCATCCAGTAGAGTTTTACGGCTTTGCCCCTTACGCACAGCGATTGTTCCAGATTCTCTGAAACTTTTGATGATGTTATACACGGTTGATGATGATAACTTAAAAGTCTTCCCTATTTTACGCTGGGTAACACCATTCTGGTATTGCTGCACTATCTTTCTGCGCAACAATGGTGGAATTGGTGATCCTCTTACCATCTTGGCTTCTGAGAGACACTGACACTCTGAGAAGCTCTTTTTATACCAAATCATGTTGTCAATTGACCTAATTAGTGTTAATTGGTCTTCCAGCTGTTCGTTATATGCTCAATTTCCTTTTTCCAGCCACTTATTGCTACTTGTCCCAACTTTTTTGGGATTTGTTGACACTATGAAATTTTGAATCAACATATTTTTCCTTTAAAATGTTACATTTACTCAGATTAAACTTTTGAACTGTCATGTATGTTATATTACGAATAAAATATTGACATTTGCCATCTGCACATCATTGCATTCAGTTTTTATTCACAATTTGTTTAGTGTCCCAACTTTTTTGGAATCCGGTTTATATATATATATATATAGATTATTGAGCATGCATCAGGATATATATGTATATACATGTATATATATATGTATATATATATATATATATATATATACATATATATATATATTTACATATATATATGTATTATACATATAAACACAATATTAAGACATTTTTAACTCTTCCCACACTCTTTCAATATTCTAAACAATGTTTCTAAACTTTAAAGCTCTAAAAGAGCATAGAATGTCATGATCTCTGCTCTCTCTTCCACCTGCCAGCAATCTCGGGCACGCCCACTTCTCCGCTGCAGAGCGGAGTTATGACACGCTGCAGGAGGAAGCTTCTCCTGCAGCTGTGGGCTGCACTAAGTTGCAGCAGGTGCTAAAATATTGACAATAATTTATCTAAAATAAAAATTCCATGCCGATTGTGCGGCTCATCCATCAATCAGCCAATTGTATGTCATGTCCAATCTTACTTTGAAAAACTGCAATAGAGCGAGTCCACGAAAAACAAATCGCAAAGTAGCGAGGGACTACTGTATATATAAAACTAAGTCTTGCTTGTCATCTTAAATCAGCCACAGTCCTGCATTTAGGTCCTGATTGAATGCCAGCATTTGTACTATCAATTCTAATCACAATGATTTTTAAGAAGATAAATTTAATTTAATCATCAGTTTTATATATATATATATATATATATATATATATATATATATATATATATGTTCTTATCCTAAGTAATTAAGTAAGTAATCCTAATTAACTGAAACTTTTTTAATTCACGTTTTTGAGCTGGCGACACGGTGGTTCAATTGTTCAGCAGTTCAGCAAGGCAGACGTGCTGTATATTACAGATGTAGCATTCTTTCTCTCATGCATCCCAACACCCCCTGGTCAACAACTACCGGCACTAACTAATAAGCTAGCATGTAACTCAGAGGTGTCTCCCTCTCCTCCCCCCACCCCGTCAACAAAAAAAACACCCAAAAAGATGAGCACCCTGCCAATAAGGCAAGTGACCTTGGGGAAACACTGCATGTGGTGTGGAGGTAACCAGGAAAACCCGGAGTGGACTTTTAGTGGTTTGAGTATTCTCCTATTAATTAAGTGGAATGGATTTGTTCACGAAGCAATGGTGAACTAATATTTCATGTTAAATGTGGGTGGGTGGGGAGGGTGTGTGCATGACCAAATTAATATTTTTTTTAAAGTGAGGGGGACATGTCCCCATCACATATGATTAATGTGACACCTATAATGTGCTCAGAGACTGAAGTTAACGTGTCTGAGTTAAAGTGACATAAAATCCTCGGCTGTAGTACCTGATACTTTTAGTAGTTTTAAAATCTGTAAGTCAGAGTAAAGGAAGAAAGCCTTGCTTTGTTGAACTTGCTTCATACTCCTCTGGTCAACAAGTGCATTTTATTTATTTGATATTTTTTTACCTCTGTTGATCCCGCTCAGCCACTCGCTGGCTGACAGGGCAGGCTCAGTTCCAGCTGTCATCGGGTAAAGGTCCTCCTGGTATGTATCTGACTGTTAAAACACATTTTTAGTTTGTTTTAACCATGTTTGCTTCAAGCAGATATTTAATTTTATAATCCATTAAATAATCTGAAGGTGTAGGTAAAAGGATTTTTGGGTGTGCTTTATAAAAATGTTGCTTTATCTCATGTATTGAAGAGTTATGCACCCAAACAAACCTCTCAGTCTTTACTTTAAATTTATCTTAATAAACTTTCTTTCCATCATAAATGCATTCTGCCATATGTGCTAAACTTTAATTAATTAATTAAAAATAATGTCATTGAATTCTGGTGAAATACTCTGCATTAAATGATATGTTCCAGTTCTGTAGTAATACAAACCTCAAGACAAACCATTGGCAAGAGATGTAAAGCAACATTTCACACATTTCAAAAGCGTTTTGTGTTTTAGCTTCTAAGAGTTGGATATTTATAAAAGCTGCTGATTTGGTTCAAAATGGGAAAACAGAGCAGAAGTATTCCCACTCACTCGTCTTGGCACGATCATGGAAATGGGCTCAATCAGACCCTTCAGGGTCACCAGTTTGTAGAAGCGAAACACCTCACAGGCTGCTACGTCCAGCCCGTGTTTTGGCATCACACCTGCAGACGGGAAGAGAAACGACAAGGCGTCACGATCGATTTGACAACGTGAAATTCATCCCCCAAATCTAAGACACATTAAACGTATCTGAGACCCACACAAACATGAGCAACGACCATTTAATGGCTGATAACTTTCGAAGCGGGTGGAAACACAAAACCCTACTGCAGTAACTCGTTTCTGAATAAGTTCGTTGGGCGAACGTTCTTGCTCCTGCCTTCAAGTTTTCCTTCAATGAACTTGATCTGTTCAGACACCTTCACAGCTGCACCAAGACTGAGCTCATATTCAAAGTGACTCTTCCCCTCCCTCCATTTCTAAAGATGTCTAATAACGTATATTTCTCTTTCTGCTTTTGCCAGGAAACACTTTATATTGCTGAGGAGCTCCTGACTTACCTAGGCCTTTCTGTGGGGCCGGGGACCTGAACTCCATTAGATACTGAATGTATGGCTTCTCCGTGGTTATTTCAAAGTAACGGATGTTACCATCCCCCTGCAAAGCAGCAAAACATCAGAATCCATGCATTACTAATAGGATGTATTTTCAACCTCTGGGCCTATTATAAATAATATACAGTATAATCTAATTTAACGTAATATTAAATGGCTCAATAAATTAGAAAATTTGTCAACGACTGAAAGATAATTCCTAAAAATAACTGGTTATGAAATGTGGTATAATTTGAAGGCCACACTTTATAAATCAAATTGCCCCCTTGGGTTTGTCTTTGTTGGAGGCATTTCATTTGACAAAAAACAAAACATTTTTATTTTCATTTAATAAATGCACTTATTTTTTGTCACTTTTTAAAACATTTTATTTTCTTTAATGCAATTTCAGGCAGTTTGAGTCCATGTAATAAAAAAAAAAGAAACTAAGTTCAAATTTGTTAAAATCCACTCATATTCCAGTATTTTGACATGTGTAAAAGACATCTTAAAGGGAGATATCTTATTTACTGATACCATTTAATTTATTTTAAAAATATCTATGATGCGTCCTCTGATAGACTACAAGTCTAAATATCTGTTAAAATTTAAAAGGGGAGACTACACTGAACTGGAAGGTCAGGAAGTATATAAAAGATTGTTTGGATGGTCAAATATAAGAAAGTATATTACCTAGTGTTTTTTTTCTTCACAATGTGTATTTATGTTTCTTTACATTAATATTCAGCCTATTATTAAAATTTAGCCTGAAGATTTTAAAGTATTCTGTAAATTTCTTTACAAGGAAAATCTATTTAAAAAAGGTTTTATGTAAATAACTATTTCAACATATATACTTTTTTATTCATTTTAAACAGGTTATTATTAAGAAAAAGCAAAATTAACAAAATAATACTAATAAAAACAGTATGAATTATGCATCAGATATAATTACTGATTTGTCTATTTGTATTGATAAAATACACTAACAACTTCTAAGTCATACTAAAATAAAATGAATATCGCATTATATTCATAGTCAGTATTAATATTAATCACCCAACTCCCCATAACTTTATATTTATTTTTAAACTAATTGATATTTAAACATTGTTTGTACATAAATTTTCACCTATTCACCTTATTCCATTTAAATGTAAACAATTACATTTATACAAATGTCTATACAAATGTCCTTTTTAAATATCATCTACTGTATATTAGTTAATTCAATGATAAACTATATAAAATTATATTTATAGTTATATTATAAATTGGCCTTTTTGTAATTTTTAAATATATACCAGGAGTTTTTATTTAAACTGAATCTCATGTGTTTTTTGCAAAATCAGGAACTTTTCCTTGTCTTTGTACATTTTATTCTAAAATTCCTGCACTTGTTTTCTGCAAAAGATCTTGGCTATCTTCTTTAGCATCTGTTGTTCTCCTTGCACAAAATAAAATAAGTAATAATAAAAAAGTTTTTGCATTTTATATGTACTAAAACGTTTTGGAAAATGCACAAAAAATAGTTTGATTAAGAAGTGTGTGTGGTTCTGACCTTGCCTGCCACGTATAGCATGTGTGTGTCAGCGTCGTAGAAAGGAAACAACAGTCCTGAGAGGCCGTCTATATCCTCCTCCACTATAGGCATGGACAGGTCCTCCTACAGGAGGAGCAGCACATGCAGAGAGTTAAACACCCGCCTGCTGTGGCATAACGAGCAGGAGTCATATGGACGTGTTGCTCGACCTGATCCCAGAGAGCAATCTGCCGGGTGTTCCAGCGAGAAACCCCTGTGGTGAAGAGCCGCTTCATGTTGCCCAGGAAGACCACTCGGCTTACTCGGTGGTTCTTGTAACTTGCTTGCTGGTGGAAAAACACAGAATGATAGATCCAACGAAGTTAAGTTGGGTCCTCTGGTCGGATTCTTCTTGTTGAAACATTTCGTCTTATATTCAAAATACTTTGTCAGTCTGAGGAGCTGCAACAAACTCAGTCTTATAAATAGCACCTTCTCGTGGTGGATCAACCAGTTTGCAAACTGGTTCACAACGATGGCTTCCTTCAACCCTCTCGCAAAGAAATGAGTGAAGGAAGCCATCTTTGCGAAAAGAAACTGTCCATCATTAAACAGGGGCGGAGGCCTCCGTGTTCGACTGTCCCCCTCTTACAATGTTGTTATTGCTAGTATCACTCAGCCCCCTGTGAATAGTAAACAGCCATCAGAGCACTAACAATCGATTGTTAGGATGATGGTCCTCCTTGATCATGTGAACAGCTAGTTTTGAATGTCACCAGCAAACTGGCTGATCCACTATGAGAAGGTGTTTTGAACCAGTTTGGCGTGACTGTCTCAGAGGAGTTGACGAGGGAGAGGGCGGGACCCAGAGGGCAGGACCCAGAGGCCATCTTAGCACAAGCAAACTGTTTTTTTCCCACTATAGAGCATGCTGTTTGTAGGAATCAGTTTTGTTTGGTGGCTTCTCAGATTGAAGAAGTCCTTTGGGTGCTGGAGGCCACTTCCACCGCAGATCCTCTTATGTTCAGGGGGGTGTAGGTGTGTTTGTTCCTTCTGAAGTCCACGATCATCTCCTTTGTCTTCTTCACATTGATGTGAAGGTTATTCTCTTTGCACCAGCTCTCCAGGTTTTCACCTCTTGCCTGTAGCTGGACTCATCGTTGTTTGTGATGCATCCCACCACCGCTGTGTCATCTGCAAACTTTACAATGTGATAGCCTGGATGGGTAGGTGCACAATCATACGTGAGCAGAGTGAACAGAAGGGGGCTCAACACACATCCCTGAGGAGAGCCAGTACTGAGGGTTATGGTGGAGGAGGAGAAGTTGTGGATCCTCCCTGAATGTGTTCTGTTTGTTAAGAAGTCTAGTACCCAGTTGCAAATGGAGGGGCTTAGTCCTAGTGTGAGTAGTTTGTCCATCAGGGTTTGGGGGGATCATGGTGTTGAAGGCAGACGTGAAGTCCACAAAGAGCATACGGATGTAAGAGTCTTTCTGCTCCAGGTGGTTGAGCGCAGTGTGGACCACAGAGGAGATTACATCCTCTGTTGATCGGTTCTCGCGGTACACTCACACCTAGGGACAATTTAGAGTTACCAATCAGCCTAACATGCATGTTTTTGGTCTGTGGGAGGAAACCGGAGAAAACCCATGCATGCACTGAGAGAACATGTAAACTCCACCCAGAAAGGTCCTCAGCTGGGATTTGATCTGGCAACCTTTTCACTGAGAGGCAGCAGCTCTGCCAGCTGAGCCACTCTAGGAGTGAAACCCAGGCATTTTTTCTCCACCAACACATGCACGTTTCTTCTGTGGGTTCTCAAGGCGTTCAGGTCAGATAGGATGAATATTCTCTTCAGCGAGTCTTGGGTCTGTCCCAGAGTCTGGTCAGCCTCTAAAGCTTGGCTCCCAGGAGGCTTTTTATCCCAAATGACTCGTTCTGATTTGGAGTAGCAGCAGCTCAGCCTGGATAAAAAACTTCTCACCTAATCTCTGATCTGAGTCAGAGTCAGAGTCAGAGTTTCTTTATTGTCATTCGCACCTCATGTGGTACATGTGGTGGAACGAAATTATGTACACAGGGTCCCAGTTACATCCAACAATAAAATGTCTAAGAAAAACAGTAATAACATCTAAGATATGAACTAAGAAAAACATCAACTAAATATACACTAAGCACTCATAACATAAAACATTGAACATCAGCACAAACATGAACATGAGTCTGTGAGCAGATGTGCACGCATGAACACACCAACATTGAAACAGATCAGCAGCAACACGAAACAGATCAGCAGCAACATGATATGGTTTTTCACAGTGATTATTCTAGTTAGAGATTCATGAGTCTAACAGCCTCAGGGTAGAAGCTGTTCCTCAGTCTAGTGGTTCTACACTTAATGCTCCTTAACCTCCTTCCTGAGGGGAGTGGGGCAAAAAGTGTGTGTGCTGGGTGGGTGGGGTCCTTCATGATGCAGGTGGCCCTCTTCCTGCATCTGGAGGTGTAGATGTCTGTGATGGTGGGGAGACTGATTCCAACAGATTTCTGTGCAGCCTTCACCACTCTCTGCAAAGCTTTTCTTTCTGCAGCTGTGCAGCCTCCATGCCACACGTTGATGCTCGAGCACAGGATGCTCTCCACTGCACACCTGTAGAAGGAGGTGAGGACTGAGCTTCCCAGACCAGCTCGCCTCAGCCGTCTGAGGAAGTAGAGTCTCTGATGAGCTTTCTTGATCAGGCTGGTGGTGTTGTTGCTCCAGCTGAGGTTGTCATTCATGTGTACACCCAAGTACTTGTAGCTGGAGACCACTGCCACCGCAGATCCTCTTATGTTCAGGGGGGTGTAGATGTTTTTGTTCCTTCTGAAGTCCACAATCATCTCCTTTGTCTTCTTCACATTGATGTGAAGGTTATTCTTTCTGCACCAGCTCAGTCTGGTCTCTCTAACTTTATCTCCCAGTTGTTCAACCTGTGATGTATCTCAGATGATCACATTCCTGATCTTATCCATCCTTGTCACTCCTAAGGTGAACTGTCAGGGGATTTTTGGTCAAGGTTTATGGATGTTTTTAACTACTATGTCTCAGAATGTTAACTGTCCACGAGCCATGTGAGTTAACAGAGTTATGTCTCAGGTCGTTTTCACACTAGATAGTCTGGTAGACTCGGTTCGGTTCGGGACCAATATTCATGAGCTTTTGTTTACATTTGAGCTGGTGCGTTTGCATTCACACTGCACTGTGCAGTCGAGTCAACCTGTTGAACCAACCTATTCCCCCACTCGCCTGTGGGGGCGCTGCACCAAGAACTACTGAAAGAAACGACACAAAACCTCTGAAGACACGTCTTCTTCTTCTTCTTCTGTAAATAAAAATAAAAAACGAAGTGGCATGAAGTTTTAGCAGTTTTAGGAGTTATATTTGTCATTTTTCAAAATGGACTTAGCATGAGCAGAAGATGAGACAGAAGACCCTGGAGAATATTGTTTTCCACACAAGGCAGCTGACGGCTCCATATAAGGTCAGAGAAATATGTGTTTGTTTACCCTGCGGAGCGGGGCTCGGTCTGTTTACATTCACACTGTACTCGAACCGCGCTGGAGTTCGCTTCTACCGGACCGAGACCTAGATTTTAGCCCGGGCCAGAGTTCGCCTTTTTATTCCGTGACAGAGTTTGATGTTGCGTTCACACCTCCCTAAACGAACCGGACTTTCTAGGAGTTTGATTAAAGTGGACTAAACAGGGCTGGTGTGAATGCACCCTCAAGGTTCAAGGTGACTTTATTGTCATTCGCATCACATGTGGTACATGAGGTGGAACAAAATTGTGTACTCAAGGTCACAGTTACACCCAAAAATAGCAAAAATATAAACTATAAAAAGAAACAGTACAAGGATCTAAGACACACACTAAACAGTAATAAAATAATATATATTTTTTCTTCTTATGGCTTCTCCCTTCGTCAGAGGTCACCACAGTGAGCTAAGTTGCACAAAGACTTTGCAATTATTTTTATGCTGGATGCCCTTCCTGGCACAACCACATACTACCAAGCTACCACAGCCCTCTGTGTGGAGCCATCTAGGGTGCCCAGGGGAGCAGATGATGATGGTTACAGGCCTTGCTCAAGGGCCCAGAGTGGGGCAAATGAGCGTGGAAGCAGGTGTGGGTGTTTTAACTTTTCCACCCACATTTTGATGTTGTCGGTACCAGGAGTTGAACCGGCGATCTTCCAATCACAGGCTCATCTTCTCTAAACTCTGCGCCACAATTCCCTAATAAGATAAAAATAAAATAATATAGTAAGTTGTATTAAACAGCAGACTGAACACGAGTCTGTTGTGAGCAAATGGGCATGAATATAGCAGCTTATGGGTAAGAAATCAGCAGCATGGATAATCAGCAGCATGGATAAAGTGTCAAATCTCAAACTAAAGTGTCATTACAGTAATTTTCCTGATTAGTGATTCATGAGCCTAACAGCTTCAGGGTAGAAGCTGTTCCTCAGTCTAGTGGTTCTACACTTAATGCTCCGCAACCTCCTGTCTGAGGGGAGCAGGGCAAAAAGTGTGTGTGCTGGGTGAGTGGGGTCCTTCATGATGCAGGTGTCCCTCTTTCTGCATCTGGAGGTGTAGATGTCTGTGATGGTGGGGAGGCTGACTCCAACAGACTTCTGTGCAGCCTGCACCACTCTCTGCAAAGCTTTTCTCTATCCAGCTCTACGAGGAGCTGAACGAGGAGCTGATTTGATACTGCATGTGCAGCTGGCAGTCTCTTGCAAGTACAACTGGTTAAAAATCTTCTCATGTCCTCCAGTGTGGTTCCTTTGAGTAAGTAAGATGAATAGAGGATATTTTTATCCAACAAGAACCTCAACATCATTTCTTCCACTTCCAGTTCTTTCTCATGTTTTTGTCAGTGCCATCGTCTCCAGACCATACAACATAGCTCAACTCCATACTCTGTTGACTCTTGGAAACCTCCACTTTGGCCACATGTGTTAATTTAAACATGACTCACAATGAAAATTATAATAGATGAATTATATCCAGCTATCCAAAGTCAAGTTTCATGCAAAGAAAATCGAAATAATCAAATCAACATTTTTTTTTTCCTTTCAAATTTGCAGAGGCCAAAACATTTTTAAGAACAAATAGTCCACAGAGAAGAAGAATTGGCTCAAACGTCTCAGTACATGCTTGCTCAGGATGATGAAGTGAAGATTCAACACAATCTGCTGGCTTCCTTAGATAGATAACTTTTACTAATTGGCTTTTTTATGTATATGAATGTTTCTGTTCAGTGCCCTGAGACGACTTCTGTTGTGACTTGGCACTGTACAAATAAAATTAATTTAATTTAAAATCAGCTGAAAAGAAAGAGCTCTAAAGACAAGGTTTATAAGAGGACTTGATTATTTGATTAATTTAGTTGGATATTATGTCACAGTTAGTTTGAATAAAAGAAGAGACACATTGAGTGTCTTGTAATTATCAACCACCAGCAAGTCTCTTTCTGACAGGAAACCAGTGTCAGACAATGTCCTGTGTTAGAACATCCCAGTCTGAGCAGTTCTTTTCCTGAGGCGCTCACAGTGACGCACAGATTTTCAACTTTAATTGATCTGTAACTCCCAACGTTGCTCTGCGAATAAAGTACACCACAGTTTATTCCAGCAGCAAACATTCAGAGTTCTGAAAGTATCGGAAATATAATATATATATATACAAAGCACACAAGATTGCATATTTTATGTTCATGAGTGGCATTTCCATCTTATACTCTGCCGCATGTATTGAGCTAAAGATAAAGTTAAACAAGCTGAGTCATGTTTATTAATTTAAGCAGACTTTTCTGCTGATGTTGTGTCACATGTCAGGTCCACCAGAGGTGCTGGACAGAGCGGTGACCTGATCTCTGGTGCCATGTGCTGTAATGGGATGTAGGATCCTGTTGACCCAGACCTCAGAGTGAAAGATGAAGGAAAAAGCCATAACAAAAAGTACATAAATAACACCCTATTTGTTCATGAGTACAAGCTCTCAGAGTATAATTCATCTAATCTACTCTGGTTGTGTCATTTTCAAAATTGTAGGAATAAATGTTACAAACATCACAAAATCTAAATTGATGCTTATAAATTTCAGTTTTTTTTCTAAATCTCAGTTAATTTAAAAATACATTGAGTCTAAAATCAACGTGTGCAAGCGATTCAAAGGTCTCTGAAAGCAACACATGAACCACAGCAGCAGTAAATGAACTCAGTAAACTCTGAGTTATCGATACACAAACAGGAGTGTCCCTCTTTGTCTGAGGAGATGGAGGTGTTTGTGACCTTGTCTGTCACTTTCTATCCATCTGTGCACCAGGTGGTGCCAGCAGTGGTTTGTCCACCCTCTGCTGGCTCTGACTGTGGGTGAACATATGGCCGTCTTGCCAGCTGTCATTATAATAAATCAGACAGGCCGGTCCCTCACCGGGCGCCAAACCCTGTTTACCAAATGGGGAAACGAGCTTTATGTTCAATAGCAAAGTTGCCCTTTAAAAACTGATTTCAAACACACCGAATATTAATTATTAATGCTATTTTTTTATTGCTTTCTTTACATTTTAAGTGTTGATTTTTTTTTCCATTCTTTGTCATTTATGTTCTGGGGATCATTAAAATGAACTTTGCGTCATTTTCTTTTATTCCACAGGTAAAATAATATTAGTAATGATAACGGCATTTCAGTATGCTTTCTCAATAAAAATAAGTGTCTATGTGAATGCTTTTGCGAATAAGTTTGCTAATTTTTGTTGTTTTGACCAGAGGATTGTCCAAACAGCAGCTTTCTTCATCACACAGAGGTTTCATGAATGCAAAGTTTAATAAAATCCATTTTTCTAAACTTGTCAAATCAGCTAAACTTCGAGTAAATATGTGGATTTACACTGATTGTGATCAAATTAAGTCTGAGGAGTCTTGGATGGACTGCATGAAAACTATCACAGCTATACATGAGTTTGTCTTGTTGTTAGTGAGATCATATTGTTCCACAATATATATCATCAGCTGTTTCTATTTTTATGAGAAAAATGAAACATTCATTCTTACTGTTAGTGAGTACTGTCTATATAAACTGTTATTTCTAATAATTTTAGCATTTAGCGCATATTTTCTGACACACAGGACTGCTCCTCATAATCAATCTGAATCTTATACTCTCATTGCATACCATCATGGTTTTTTAAATGCAATAAATGAGTTTTCATTTATCCATTCCAGGGGATTTTTTTTTTCTTCCCAGGCGTTATGACTTTCTCTTTCTGTCCACACATGCATTGTCTCATAAATCAACGCGATGCCAGTGAGGTTATGTTATAAAAAGCCACAGCTCCAAACAAAATGAGCCCTGTAAATAAAGACTGTGGCGTTTCCATAACCTTCAGACGTTTGTCTGTTATCTGCACTGCAGCCACTCCCATTTTAATCTGACTGCAGCAGACAACACCAGAAGCTGCTTCTCTTAAACTCATTTAAGACTGCAGTTTACAGCACTTTTCTACTTTAATGGATGAAGCATGCACACATGTTGCCTTCCATTTAAAGTTCCTCATTAGAGGTGTTGGAACAGCATAATTTTGGGGGACTATTAAACAATTAAGTCTTGCAAAGCCCCTTTCCATCTTCTGTTTCTTGTAAGTTTCTAAGTTTCGTAAAACGTTTCACACAATATGTTATAATCAAACCACTTAGCAACAAAGTTGGTCATATAAGAGCTAAAAAACAGACACAAAGAGATTCATACCATCCTTCTATAGATTCCAGGCCTCCCTTGCAAAAGAGATCTGTGATCTCAATGGGATTTGCCTGGTTAAATAAAGGTTAATAAATTCCTTCAACCTTTCTGAGCAGCAAAGCTCACGTAGATCCCTTTGATTAAAACTTTCTGAGATGTGCAACGCCTAAAAGCTTCCCACACCTGCAGTGCCCTTGTCTCATGGTTGAGTATGATGCCAATTAAAGTGGAGTTTGTGGCTATGAATAAAATAAGACACCTTCAAGGAAATCTTTTCCAAAGGCCCAAACCAGTGTCACCAAAACCCATTCAGTGTTTGACAACCTCTCAGATGTATATTGTCTAGGTTTATTTCCCACAAGGTCATAAAGGTCAGGGGCATTGTGTCACGGTCTGTTTTTATGTAGTGGCAGTTCTTTTTATGTTTGCTTTCTGTGTTTAGTTCTGTTTCTTGTGTTGTACATATTTATCCTTGGTGTATTCCATTGCACCACCTTCTTCCTCAGTCAGTATTTTCCAGTCGGCCTGACACGCCCGTCTCCACCTGTCCCCTGTTTTATCAGTCACAGCTGCAGCCACTCTACCCATCAGTCCCCATCTTTATTTGTCCTCAGCATCACCTCTGCCTTCAGTTTGCCATTTTTTGTGCTCTCGGGTCACATCTGGTTTGCCATTTTGTTTTCTTGCATTTATTCCAAGACCCTGCAAGTTTTGGTTGCCATGACAGTCTTTTTAAGTTACCTAATTCAAAACTTTTTAATTTCATTTTTTACCTGAGCTCATTGGGTCAGTCTGCATTCCCAAGTTATAAACTCCTACACACCGTCACACAGTGAGCTATAAATACAACAACACATTGGAAAAGAAACACATTCTACTTTTTCTTAAAAATAAAAAAATAAAACTATTCCCAATGAAAACAGGTTCTGTTTCTTGTAAGCTGTACAAATATAAATATACCTTTATGTGCTCCTATTGGAATCCCACACCCTCTTAAAAGTCTGGCTTCAGACTCTGGCCTGATTTCCACTTGTGGATACAGTGTGTGCTTTATTTGTTTGGAAGATAGTTTGTCTGCTTATTATGTTGTGGAAAAAAGCTGTGGAAGAATGTAATTTTATAGAAGAAATGTTCCACAAAAAGGACAGAATACTGTGCTTGACAACCCTACTGCATACTTTGGTACAATAAATCATCTAACTTCAAAAAAAGTAACCATAAAATCACTTTTCTGACTAATTCCTGTTTGGACACAATAATTAAAAATAAAAAAACATCACTTACCATATATTTTGGACTATAAGGCGCACTTGAAATCCTTTTCTCAAAAATCAACAGTGAGCCTTTTTAATCCAGTGCACCCATCCATCCATCCATTTTCTTTACCCGTTTGTTCCATTTTGGGTCACGGGGGTCGCTGGTGCCCATGTCCAGCAATCACTGTGCGAGGGGCGGGGTACACCCTGGACGGGTCGCAAGTCCATCACAGGGCCACATAGAGACAAACGAGACAAACAACCATTCACTCTCTCACTCACACCTAGGGACAATTTAGAGTTACCAATCAGCCTAACATGCATGTTTTTGGTCTGTGGGAGGAAACCGGAGCACCCGGAGAAAACCCACGCATGCACGGAGAGAACATGCAAACTCCACCCAGAAAGGCCCCTGGACCGGGGTTTGAACCAGGGACCTGCTCGCTGAGAGGCAGCAGCTCTACCAGTTGCTAATCCAGTGCAACTTATGTATTAATTCTGTTTGTGCTTACTGACCTTGAACCAATTTTATGTGGTTATTGTGAATGAGTTGAATAAAGTTTGACTTATCTGACTGTTTTGCGTCGCTTAATGCGCCTTATGTATGAAAACAGACCCGTTCGTTGATACTGCGCCTTACAGTCCGAAAAATACGGTATGTAACAAAAATGTGTCCTGTTGTGTTGAAGCCCTTCAACAATCAACAAAATAATAATAATAATAAAAAAAGTTCAATCAACATTTTTGAGTTCTGGCTTTTGTTGACCAAAGGAAACTTACCTGGGATACAGGTATAACAATGAAAGAGCCTCCGCCGGCACTTTCTGTGACGACAGCCAGGAACTTGGAGTTGACGGCACAGAAGTGGTTGTCATGGACGTTCTTGGTGATGGGCACGCCATCGAAGCAGTGCTCTCGATTAGCTACTTTTCCATAAACGTTTCGAAACTTGGAGCTTCGGTAGGTTGGACGCCATGACATCTAAGAGAGGGGTAAACAAACAATAGATGTTTACATAAATACTTAGCAGTTTGAATAACTAACACTGGAAATGATTAGTTTTGATGATCCGTTTAGTAGAAAAACAATAATTTTGCTAAATATTACTAAACAGATCTACTTTAGTCTTTATCTACTACTAAAAATGTTCAACTCAAAATCGTTTATAAACAAATTATGGACACAAACCTATATAAGTTAGCAAAGTTGGACAAACACAGCCCCGATTAAATAAAAAGTTGGGACTTTTTTGTAAATCTCATAAAACGCTGGTGAAGATTCTCAGTCATCCAGGACATGGTAAATCCATAAAAAAGTTTAAAAACAAAACAACTGGACTTTATTTGTAATTGAAGACGTTTCACTTCTCTCCCTTAAAGAAACTGGTCCAGATGAAATGATTTAACCTTTGCTGTTGTTATCTACCTGGATGATTGAGCCTACAAACCTTTTTTCATCTGAGGAGTTTTCTCAATTCAAAGAAACAAGGAGTGTGGGATTCAAGTTATAAAGCTGTGGTGTTGTGTAAGCTTGCATAATGCAGATTGACACATGGAGATAAACCTCTCACTCTTCACAGCAGAGGATCGTTAGGGTCTTTGTTAGTCCCACCCACAGAGGGGCCACTCTGGTCACATGGTTGAAATTCCTGATAGGCGTGAAACTGGCTGGGTATCAGTCCTAAAGCTGAATTGTAGGTTTTTGAAAACTGAAATCTGAGACCTCCTCCTCTGTTTAAAGATGGTTTCTCTCTTTTTACATAAACGGCCTCCTTCATGCCCCTCTCAAATCTGTCCTCTCAGTCCCAAATGCAGACATTCTGGTCCTCAAAAGAGTGTCCCTTATCCCTGAGGTGTAGGTGAACCGTTGAGGCTTGTCCTGAGGAGCTGGCTCTCCTGTGTTGAGCTATGAGTCTGAAGAAGCTGTTTGGTTTCTCCAATATAGGAATGTCTGGATCTCTAAGGGACACTCTTTTGAGGACCAGAATGTCTGCATTTTGGACTGAGAGGACAGATTTGAGAGGTGAGTGAAGGAAGCCGTTTATGTAAAAAAGTGAGAAACAATCTTTAAACAGAGGAGGTCTCAGATTTCAGTTTTCAAAAACCTAGAATTCAGCTTTAGGACTGATACCCAGCCAGTTTCACACCTATCAGGAATTTCAACCATGTGACCAGAGTGGCCCCTCTGTGGGTGGGACTAAAAAAAACCTAAAGGCCCCCGCATACTCGGGCGTAGGTGCATACTCCGTGAGCCGTGCGGACTCCATGCGTACTGTCCGCAGACGGTTGAGACTTCATACTTGAGTCGAGCGTACACCCTGATGGGCTGCAGCCCACCTCTGCAGGTAAGGGGACAGGACAAATTGAGGTCGCCAACTGGTCATTTGCTGACACGCCTACTGGATTGATTGACAGGTTGCGTCACAGATCCAATTTGTGGAAAAAAAAGATCTGCCAGTGGCCCTGGGTAGAGGCAGGATCAGCAGCAGCTGTGTTTATATATTGTTAATAAAATGTTCTAAAAAAGTTTTTAATAAAAAACCAGGGAGCACTGGCCCTACAGCCAACACATCAGTCTGGCCCATCGGGAAATCTCAAGACCCTCCCGATTAGCCACGCCAAACCTGATCGAGCGGTTGGTGTTGCATACAAAACAGTTAGTTGCTGGGCAATTTATTGTGCGACACAGAGTACGCGTACGCAGTCGTAAAAATTGATCTTTGAACAGATATGGTTGGCGGACGTCCGCTTCGAGTCCACGTTGAGTCCACCTCGAGTACGCGCGGACCTTCGTGGTGTGAATTACGCCTGAGTATGTGGGGGCCTTAACGATCCTCTATTATGAGGAGCAAGAGGTCAATCTGCATGTGTCAATCTGCATTATGTAAGCTTACAGAACATCAACATGAGATGTGCAATGTCTTCAGTTACAAATAAAGTCCAGTTGTTTTGTTTTGAATCTTTTTTTGGACAAATCTCATAAACACATTTTATTCACAGTAAAACACAGAAAACATATGCAATGTTTAAACTTAGAAATTGTAGCAATTATGGCAGCAACACATCTCTATAAAGATGAGACAAGCACATCTAAAGGCTGTAACAATAAATTGTATCAATATCAAAAAGCTGGAGGAGCATTTTGCAACTAATTAGTTTTTTCAAGAAACATATCAGAATAATGTTACTCTATAAAAAAGTGGAACAACTTTGAATATTTAATTATCCACAGTACATAAGACCATCAAAAGATAGTAGGAATCTGGGGAAATCTCTGTGTTCAAAGGGCAAGATTGAGAGTCAGTATTGGATTCTTGTGATCTTTGGGCCTTCAGGCAGCACTTCAGTAAAACAGGTCTGATTCTTTGTTGAATCAGTTTATTGTCCCATCCATTCTGGTTAAAGTATGCAAAGGAGACACCATATAACACAAGGGAACCCAGAAAATTTGCTGTCTTCTCTAGACAAATACTCATTTATATTAGACAGAGACAAGGTAGTCTCTTGTCAGACAAATCACAATTTGAAATTTATTTTGGAAACCACAGACACCATCTTGTTTGCATAAAAAGGAGAGGGACCATTCAGCCTATTATTACAGCACAGTTAAAAAACAACTGCCTCTCTGATGGTATGGGGGTGCATTAATGACTCTGGCATGCGTTGTGGTGATTGTAATGAAATAGGAGACGAAGGTTCAATGCAGAAACTTTATTAGAGTAAGTGTGCTTGAGTATCTATAGCAGTGGTTCCCAATCCTGGTCCTTGAGGAGCACCATCCTGCATGCTTTAGTTGTTTCTCTGCTCCGGCACACCTGATTCAGTGATTTAATTACTTCTGCATTTTCTGCAGAAGCCGGCTAATTACCCAATGATTAAAATCAAGTGCATCATAGCAGAGAAACAACTTAAACTTGCAAGATGGTATTCCTCAAGGACCAGGGTTGGGAACCCCTGATCTATAGGCCTCGCAATGGCTCAGTTACAGCTGTGAAGCTTGAGAGAAATTTCCTGAATCAGGAACTTAAGTCCAGGAACGAACAAAAAGCTGCTGCATCTGATAGGGCAGTGACTACAGTGATGGCAGGATCTGGACTGGGGAGCGCAAACACACACACACACATACAAAAAAACTATTTTTCCCCCCCCCCAGCATTTTCTATGTTTATTATGTCCCACTGTGAATAAAAATGGGTTCATGAGATTTATACATTGTTGCATTCTGTGTTTTATTGTGTCCATATTATTTTGCTCCAAACAATATAGACTTGTGAAAGTAAAGAAATAATTAGTTCGCTGTCACATTCCCATCCTCCACAGAGTGGGCTGTCCCATCTGTGCAGACATGATAGCAGCCACACATGTTGGAATTCATCCAGCTTCCACATGTGTGGCTGAATTATGTGCAGCTAAACTCTTGGGTGGGAAATGTTTAAAGGGTGAAAATTGTTCTGAACTATTTTAGGTATCCTTAAAGACTGTATTTAATGTGTCAGCGAGAAAGAAAAAAAGTAAAACAGACAATTCCTCCAAATGGGTACATCACTAACAAAAGAGAAAAACAAGATTTTTTTTGTCTGTCATATAAAAGAATAAAAGCCACCATTGTTTGCAGTGGCATGGTGGCACAGTGGTTACAGCTGTCGCCTCTTAGTGAGAAGGTTACAGGTCTGCCTCCATGGATTTCTGGGTAAAGTTTGTATGTTTTTCTTGTGCATAAATGTTTTTTTTTTTCCTCAGGGGACTCCAGTTTCCTCCCACAGAAGGAAAACCATGCGTGTTAAGATCATTGGTAACTCCAGTTGTCTCGAGGTGTGAGTGAGAGTGGCTGCTTGTCTCTATGTGGGGGTGGACTTATGACACTTTCAGGATGTAGCCACTCGTTGCACAGTCAGCTAGACATTAGCTCTCCAAAACCCGAAAAGGAGAAGCGGCTAAACAAAATGAATGGATGTTTGGTGCTCCAACACAGAATAAGAGAAGAGGTTGCGTTGGAGTCAAAGGTTTGTTTAATTCAGCGTATGAATCTATCCACAGAACACCGTCTGCTGTCACACAAGTTGTTCCGTCCACATTTAACTTTTGAACAACTCTTGCTTTGCAAGTTGCAGAGGCTCAGGGATTGTTGCGCTAAAGCCACATTTTGAGAAGTTTTATGAAACAGGATGCGTTTCTGAATTTATTTTCAGCAACACTATCAGTATGTGAAGGGAACTGTTGGTCTGAGATTTATTCCTCCTGTCAGATCAGTGGCAGAAGTGACGGATGACATCAGGCAATCGTCTATTCAGCATTGTTCTGCAGATAAGGAGGTCAGCTGATGCTGATGGGAGTGGTGTGTGCAGGCGAACAGAAGCATCCTCTGAGCTGCTGTTGTCTCCCAGCACACCGGAGAAACTTGATGGGAACTGACAGGAAACACTTTGCTCTTGTTCTTAACGAAACGTACATTTTTTTTTCATTCAACCTTTATTTAGACAGGTTAATCCCATTGAGCCTCGAGGACTCATTTACAAGAGAGACCTGATTTCAACAAAGAATGATGACAACATGCCAGCTCCTTAGATTATGATCACTTTATGTGTAGAAATTATGGACTTTGAAAATAAGATTATCTTCAACCTTGTGAGACTCTCAGCTCAAAGAATGTGCTGTGGACGACTCTCATCTTCCACCGCACCAAATGTTAGCTCAGTGCCTGTAAACTAACAGAGTTATAATCATTTCTGTTTTGGCTAATATCTAGCTGTGGCAGCCATCTTAAATTAGGTTGACGTGAAAAGTCAAAGAGTCGTAGATGCACATCCAAAGATTATTTTCTAAATGTTTCATTAATTTTTGTCCAGTGGTTTGTAAGATATTTTGCTAACAGACAAACAAGAGTGGACTCTGTCAGTTAATGTCATAGATTTGAGCTAAAATCTCATACAATTAGTAGCACTTACAGTATGTGGTGTGAATGACTTCCAGCTATAATCAGAC